TTCGGCTTATAATTCCTTATTAAATGTAGTATTTCATCTCGATGTACTTCGTCTTTGATATGATTTAAATCAAATTCCTCGTTATTATAAATATCACGAATACAAATCAAATAGTTTTCTGGTTGCAATTTTCTAATTTCGGCTATGCGTAATGTATGCTTTACGCATGCGCGCGTTGAAAGAAATGTTTAATAAAGTAAACAAATAAATATGAAGCTTTTTTTTTGTAAATTTTGATACCCTTTAGATCATAATTGCTCATTATTTTATAAATTACGGTTTTCATATTTTTAATTTTATAATTTCTGCATGCCATCTTACCAGATTTAAACTGATAATCTATAATCCGGAAAAATCGATAATCCGGAATCACCGAAGTCCCGACGAGTCCGGATTAAAGACTTTTGACTGTATTATTTCACAACCTTTAACTTTATTCGATAAGATGTAGAGCTTCTTGGCCAGCCACCCCGGTATCTAAAACCCTTTTAACCACTGTTGTGGGATAGCATTGCGAGCGGTACGCAACGAGGACTACCTTTTGAAGGCATTTTGAAGATTTCCCTACCACCTAATACGGAGGTGTGGGGTTCGTCCGTGTAGTGCCTGTTTTCGAAATGGCGGAACACTAGACTTACACCAGTTGCGACCTTTAACGTTTTCTAATTCGTATTTTCTTTTTACTTCCTTCTACGAAGTAAAGGAAGTATCGTAATCACGAAAAATTCCAGGAACCATATTTCAACGAAATATTCATTTTGACCGCTATCGAATGCAATGTAATGATGTTTTTGCGTGACATCTGTACGTATCGACAGAATGCAATATTCTCTTTCCCGAAAAGTTTATAAAACTGATTTAAATCGATTCAGAAGAGATTTTTTTTCATGGCGTCTGTACGTACGTACGTATGTATGTATTTCGCATAACTCAAAAACGAATAGCCTTAGAACGCTGAAATTTTGTATATAGGACAGCTATAGGATGTAGTTCTGCAGCTCCCTCTTTGGTGGCAATCGGCCATACCAACATCTGTTAATCGGCTCCAGTCAGCTCAGTTTTTTTATTCTTATATGTTTGTAAATCGTGCATATTTTGCTTTAAAAATTATATATATTGTATAATTGAATTATGTTGCTCTTATTTTCCTCTTAAGGTTTTTATGCTTTTAAGTTAACCTGCATGTTATAGTTATAGAATTATCAACAATTTAACGGTTGTTTAAGTGCGGATAAGCCTCGTTTTTTAACCCTAGCAGCCGTATTTGCTTACATTTGAAAATTTGCAGAATAGTGGATTTGCTGCCAATCTAGAGAAACTAAGCAACAACAAAGTAACGCCTTCTTTTATTATTTCGAATTAAGTTATGCTTAATCCATTCTGGAATTATCATTTAAATTATTAAAACTATCCCATATATTGACTCAGCATAGCGTCCACAACAAATTAAATCGGTTTCTACGCCTTCAATGTGTTTTTGCCGAGTGAAACCAAAAGTAAACTTTCAGTTTTGAGCACCGAAAAATCTGTCTTCTTGCCCGATCACCGAATTGCTTGTTTTTGCGTAGAAACTGTAATTTTAATATTGTAATTTTTTTTTAAAAACTGTTTTGGTGTTTTATGCTTTTCTATATCTCTAAATTTTTAAAGAAGATATTTTGTATTTTTATTATTTTTGCATTGCCGCGAATTGAGAACTGAATAAATTGAATAAGAAATACATCTCTAAGGAAATTCAAGGAAATAAGTGTTTCATATTCGCAGAAAATACTGTCACCAGTCTGTTTGGGACAGGAGAATGTTTACGGGTATGTTTGTGGAGATGTTTACGAGTTTATGAGAATGTCTGAGGAGAATGTTAACGAGTAGCGTATGCGGATTAGGTAAGCAGGGTTGAATAGTCTGTGAAAAACTGTTTTTTATTTGTTTAATTTCTTTTGTATGTCGTTTTAGATTTATTATAGTATTTGAATAGAACATGTAGCAACGATTACATAATTCTTCAGATGATATAATTTTTGTACATTCTGTGTTATAAAATGAACGAAATGTAACGCTGTTAAGTGGGCCTAGGATCAGAGTATCGCTATGGTAAATAGATATAGTGAATTATAAAAAGTGCATTTATTCTATTGTGGTTTATGCGCTATCGACAAAGTAGATTTAACTGAATTCAATAAAGTTTAAATGAAATGCAAGAAAAAATGCGTATAATTTAACATTCCGTACAAGGAAGTCAGGTAATGTACACATCAGATTTTTTGGTGGGGAGGGGGGGATGAAAACTATAAATCATTCTGATATCGAAATCTTAGGGAGGAATAATGATTTCGTTACTGCGTAAAATTTGTCTCAGAATTTTCATCCAGAGACAGAGAATAAACTGATACACTCTTCTCTGGATATTTGTTGGCTCTTTAACCAGGTCTTCATTCTTCGAATAAGTTTGTATCCAGTAACCTTTTTTAGCTTTTTTTTAGCTCAAAAGCCACTATTAGTCTCAAAATGGAATTTTGCGTTGTTTCACTGTAAACGGCGTATCAATTATTGTATCTAAATATTGCCCTGTATTATTTTTAAAGAAATTAAATAATGAAGAATCTGCATGCATGTATGCATATGCCTCTAACTGTGAAAAAGCGAGATTCATAAAATTTTGAATAACGTATTCCTCCTCTCGAACATGCGCATTTCGAAGCCCGAATTTGCTTCGGTTCCAAAGTGAGCAGTGGCAACACTGTCCGAAATAAAACATTTTTATTTTCAGCGCGCGAGATTGTTTTCCATTAAAAAAAAATATAAGGGATTCATGTTTCAATTTTAATCTACAAATTTGAAAAAAATGTGTTGCCGCGACAGGAAACAAAATACTTTTATCTTCCCCGCCTTTACGTGCTGATATTCAGCAAAGTCTAAAATATTTTCGTATTTAATCTGGAATGTTACTGAATAATTATTTCAAATTTAATCTGAAAGTGATAAGGGACTAAATGATTTAAAAGCAATAAACACAGTTCTTAAGAATATTTGTTTCCACTTTTTAATGGAATTGACTTCTATAAAGATGTATTAAAGTAATGAAATCTTTAATTAGAAATACTGCATACTTTTATGAAATTACACTAGCTCCATTCATTAAAATCATTATATACTTTTTCTTTTTTATGATAACTATTTTTGACGGCTCGCTGCTCTAGAGGCTAGCTTTTAAAGAAATAATATAACGAATATGAAAATATGTATGGCAAACTCTAAGGTTGTATCGGGAATTCTAAAATAGGCTGTTTTTAAATATTTTGTTATTTTGGTGTTCAATTGAATTTTATGTAACGTTAAGTGCGAAGAACTTGATATTTAATAAATAAAGCTAACACATAAAATGTTAATAATAAAAAGACAAAGAAATTTTTTTTGCTAACCATCTTGCTAATAAAACTGAATATTGATATGATGAACGGAGGAAAAATTGAGGATGAACTGAGGAAAGACGGGAAAAAATATAAAAAAATGTAAGCCAAAACTTGACACTGCATCGGGAATTACGCTGCTATGCAGCTTTAAAACAATTTGTGATTTTGCTGTAAAACAGTATGTAGTGTAAGCGCGAAGAAAAAGACACTTAACAGAAAAAAAAAAAAAAATTCAGATTTTATATTATGCCCAAGGGGCGGGTTTTAAAAAAAGGCGTTTTGTGTCTTACCTTTATCTGTTAAATATCATATTCTTCGCACTTAAACTATAAAATTCAATTCAACAGCAGTATCACAAAATAATTTAAAAAGACCATATCTTTAAAATTTCAGGTACAGTCTCAAGTGCTGGAGATAAGAATTATTATTATTATTATTATTTTTTTCTGTGCAGAGTTTCTTCTCGGACTCTTTTTCTGCAAGTCTCTAACTTCCATCTCAGCACGCAGGAATGTTTAGTTTTCTTTAGTACTTCCTATTGAAAATTTAGTCTTTAGATTTCCTTTACAACGATTTGTCTTACATATCCAACTCATTCCTAATTTATTTTTTCGGTGTAAACGGTGTGGATAATCATTCTTTTCCTTTTTCTGTAGAGAGTAATTTTTTTGAAATGGCTATGGTTTCCATCACAGACTTTTTCGAGGCTATAAAACGGCATACACACTTCATAAGGATCGATCATCTACTGAGAAAATGTGAAAAGCCTTTTCTGTTAAAAGTATCGGCTTATCTCTACAGCAGGTGCGAAGCTCGAAACTACACAATAGATGACATGTGACTGATTAGGTAAACAACACAATAGGTGCAAGAATGTCTGCTCTGTCCACCCAGCTACCCTCACGTATCCGCTGTAGCCACTGTCCGCTTTGACCACTTAACCCGCACTGATTTCACTACTACCAACAGAGGGGAGGGGATATTTTAATAAAATACAAAGTGAAATGCATTCAGCAAATTATATTTTTAATTATAATTTATTTATCATCAACAATTTTATTATTTACTTATCAACAACAAGACTTTGCAGATAGCCTTCGAGTGCTTTGCCGTGATCGAATGTGGAACTCAAAGTACCGGTAACCACATGTTATCTGTAAATAAAATACTTATAAAATTACGTAATAAATAAAGTACCAATAAGTAAGCAAAGTAATTCTTATTCATGTACGTCACATGTAATTAAATAATTATGCTTACTAAATATTTTTCAGTAAGAAATAAAAAGAATTAATTTTACTGACCTAAATTTAGCATATTTAATTTACTTTATAATCAGTTTTTTTTAACCTTAGATAATGAAAATGGCAATTTACATTATTTTTTTCCATGAAATTTAATATTCAGGTAAAGTAAATATTTTAGTTCAAAATAACAAATTATAAATCTGAAAACTCGTTAATCTCATTTTAAATGTTGAGCGCAAACATTTTTGGCGAGTGCGCTGCTAAGTAAATTTCGAAAACAATTTGGCGAATTTTGAGGATCCGCGCGTATTATGTCTCTTGTCTGAAAATCGGTTCGCAGTTGCAGCTTGATTTTCCCATGATGCACCTCGAAACCATGCGTTCGCCTCACCACTTTCGAGCATTCAGCTCTTGGCGTTGCGAGACATGGCGGCCGCACAATCTGTTGTTCCCGTTCCGACCAATGTGGTGGTCACCCAACAGCCAGCTTATACCCATACCGATATAGAAGAATTGAGTGCGATAACTATACCAGTTCCACAAGAAGATCCAGAACAACCTCCAGCTAAAAAAGGTCGCGAATCTACGGGAAAATGGAAAGGATATGACAGCAAAAGGGTTTTCAAAAAAGAATGGGAAGACCGATACGGTAAGTGTGTTTATAGTCGCGCTTTGGCGAGATCGATGTCGTTTCGGCACGGGTTGTCATTATGGCGGCCGCTCGGGCTTCAGGGCGACGCCCAGGACGCCAATCTTTAAGGTAACACTAAAATTACGCCAAATGAAGAAGAAGTTAGTAGAATATGCGTTGGGTGACATATCTGTTCATTGACTGTGTTATTAAATGTGAAATAGTATAAGCTTCTTGTTATATAAGGTTTATGTTGTTCTCATATTAAAATGGCGTCATCATTGTGCATTGGACTTGAATGTCTTCCAATGGTAAAATCATTTGAAGATTCCATTGTGAAAGCTAGAGAAGAAGCTTATGTGAGGTACTTTTTACTAAAGTAATTTGCTTTCATTCATGTGATGGCTTACTTATATGTCCCCGAAACGAAACTTTTCATAAGAGAATTTGCAGCGTTTTTGCTTTCGAAAAAAGCGTATGCCGTGGCATTTAGGCTTAATGAATAATATACTGCTGTATGTAATAACTATATATAACATGCTTTTGCGCGTATGTTTTTTGAGAAATGTTAAAATTCATGTTTGTAAACGTATATAAAAGGTGTATACATTAATTCTTGTTTTTTTGTGTTATTCATATTTACCCGTCTTATAATTTTAATTTAAAATTTTAGCCGTTTAGATCGACGTCAATTTTTTGTTTATTTTGTTTGTAGAATTACTGAATTTTTTTTCAAAGTTTTTGCAATATATGAACGATTGATTCGTTTTATAACAAAAACTCTGTAAATCTTGCTGTTTTATTTCTTTCCTTGTTTGTATTTCTTGCTGTTTTGAACTTTACTGTGTTTCTTGTTTTTCGCGAATTTATTTTTTTAGCCACTTTCTATTATTTCCGTCATTTAGTTTCATCTTCTCGCCCTTTTAAATTCATTTTTAATGGATATAAAAAAAATTAACGGAAGCAGTATATCAGGTGTCGCGCAATAGTATCTTGCAGCTAAATTTAGCACTTCTGCTAAGTTGCTCAAAATTAGTTATTTATAACATTGCAATGGCTGTATTTGTCAAGACATTGTGATTTGAAAAAGTATTTTAACCATTTGCATTATATACTAAAATTTTATTATTTGTCGAAATGGGGATGTTATTTATCCAATTTTTAAATAGTCTAATTTGTCTCATGTAGTTACTTGTAACATGCTTTGTCAGATAATCAAGCATTATTTTGTTTATGTTTTAAGAATAACATCAGTTTTTGGTATTGAAAGAAGCAGATTCCATGCATATATTTTCCTTGATTAAATATGAGACGTCTTTTCAAAAAAAAAAAAGTTTTAATAGCAGAAAAGCCATAACTTCCTGATATTTAAAAATACCTTTTTTTTTTTTTTTTAAAGAACAGGATGCTTTATATAATAGCCATTAATTAGCCTTGTGTCACTACAAGGCCCGGAAGTGGTGGCCATTTCTTACAGCCGTCTGAGATGTGAACTTGGGCCCATTGCTAGGGCAGTCAGTCTCACTAACCACTATATTGGTTGGGTGACAGTTATTTAAAAGTACCTGTCGGTGCCCATTTGAAATGACATAATTTTGTTGAATTAAAAATTTTTTTCCATTTTTATTAAGTAAAATCATTGCAACAAACTTTTTCTTGAAAAATATATTATTTCTTTGTAAAAAGTATGTTAAATCAGTAAGTTTAATTTATAATACTGAAATCTTACTATCGATTATTTTTTTAAACTTTGTTGAGAATTTAAGTTATGTGTACCCTTTCATAAAGATTTGTATGTTGCAATATCTTTGTGATTTATATGCAGTGTTTCAAAAATTAGCTGATTTTAATTGTTAATAGAATTGCTGTTTCTCGCAATATAAAAAAAAAAAAAAATGTACACCACATGAAGCAGAAATATGCTGCTGTGCTGAGTTTACACATTCAGTATATTTCATTGTTGCTTAGTGCTGCATGATTGTGTAAAGTGTCCATGTTCCTCTCTATGTAATGGTGCTTAGACACTAGGGAGCCTGAACGCGATGTCCTACCCTTGATCGAAGAAGCTTAAAAGTTTCAAATTCATTTCTGAAAATAATTGCAGAAATTAATTCAAAGTTCCAATGTAAAACATAGACGAACAATGTCCAGATGGTAAAAGTTTTTTGTTAAGCTAAGGCTTTTAAAAGTAGAGTCACTAATATCACACACTGTTGACTCAAAGAACAAAGATCTAAGAAAGTATGAATGTATTGGTGTGAGAAAAAGAATGCATAAAATAAACATCAGAAGATATGTTACAGAAGCTAGGTAACCAGTTTACACTATAATAAAAATTTCTTGGAATTAGTAGCCTTATTTAGCTACGTTAAAAATGTCTGAATATAGAAAATAAATAATTTGTCAATAGAATTTTCTGTAGCCTGTATTTCAGGAATACAGTCTAATTATTTTAATAGAATTGTGCATTGAAATAACTTCAGACATTTTGCTGAACTCCTTGAAGATGCAATAAACATCTTTGAAAAGAAGATGCAATAAACATCTTTGAAAACATAAAGCAATTCATCAATATCTGTATGATATGAGTTAATGCTGCTTGTGTGTTTACAAACACATGCATCGCTTTTAATGACATAAGCATATGAAATACCAGTAGATACGCTCACACTATAATTTCTAATTACAGGATTGGGTTGATCTTTACATTACGGTAACTTGGCGATTTTTTGGCGAAAATTTGGCGACCAACTCCCCTACAGCAACCCTCTATTTTTTTTTCCCCGCCGCCATTTTGTCTTCACGAAGTAAAGACATGTTTCTTTTCTTCTTATCTACTGAACACTTCTTCCAACAATCTACTAGCCGAATTACACTTATGCTAGAAATTTTATCAAACAAAACTGCTTAATCATGACAAATATTCACTGCAAAATTCAGAAAAAGTGCACAATACCATACACCTTACGCGTTTTTCAAAATAACACATACACATAAAACCATGTACACGCCGACTTATTTTTACTTAAAAAAACATCCCAGAATTGCACAAAAATGGCATTGCGCACACTTCACTATATCCATGTACACTGCTTTTTTCTCATAAATTCGAAAAATTTCACGAAAATACATGACAATTTTCTCAATCTTTAAACCCGGTAAAAAGAACATATATGAAATTACCTGATCGCGAAAAAGTATTTACCCTTTACAAATATGAACATTTCCACATATAAAATAAATAAAATATCCAAAAACTTTTACCTCTAAATCATCTATTACATTATACACGTCACCAACGAATTCATACATGAAGCATTACAAATATTTAAATTATTTCCATGCACGTTTATTTCAACTTAAACGTAAACCAAATTCCTACAAGCATAAAATTCACAAAATAACTATCATTTCATTAAAATATCACTGAACCATGTACACGTCGACTTATTTTTACTTAAAAAAACATCCCAGAATTGCACAAAAATGGCATTGCGCACACTCTTCACTATATCCATGTACACTGCTTTTATCTCATAAATTAAAAAAATTTCACGAAAATACATGACAATTTCTCAATCTTTAAACCCGGTAAAAAGAACATATATGAAATTACATGATCGCGAAAAAGTATTTACCCTTTACAAATATGAACATTTCCACATATAAAATAATAAAATATCCAAAAACTTTTACCTCTAAATCATCTATTACATTATACACGTCACCAACGAATTCATACATGAAGCATTACAAATATTTATTATCAAATATTTAAATTATTTCCATGCACGTTTATTTCAACTTAAAAACATACCCCAATTCCTACAAGTATAAAATTCACAAAATAACTATCATTTCATTAAAATATAATTAAATTCAAAAACACCATTAAAAATATACATGAGCACATACATTCAATTAATAAAAATTACCTTACAATCCTAATTACTTTAAACTAAATCATTACTAATAACAATTTCCCAATAATACCAAATTCCTTTCCACCTTACATTTCCAACAATGCATAAAAAATAATTAAAAATACTAACTTACCTAATCTCCTTCAGAATCTTCATTACGTGGCGGATACACTTTCCTCTTTCTTCATCTCTTTCAGCTTTCAGAATCTTTAAAATCATACTTATCTTTCAAAGCAAGATACCAGGTAAAATAAATAACATAATAAAACATGTTTATTTCTCTCTCACACAACCTTAAAAAACATTTCTTACTATCCTTTTCAATACCACTAAATACCCATTTCGAATTCACTTTACTTACGGCCATGGGATCCAAAAATTCACAAACACCATTTCACACAACACAGAATAAAGCCAAATACAAAATTTCCAGATTTTTCCCGATTTCCCCCCCTTTCCGCCCTTTCCGATTAAAGAACCGTAATTCGTCCATTAATATCACATGACATATCCCATGATCTCGCATTTCCCCCACACAAAATAATGCGTAATCGGAACTCAGTACTGCTCACATTATTACCAAAGTCCCAGGTAGTAACCTTTATCGCCTCCAAAATGTCGCCAAACTACCAGTTACCGTAATGTAAAGATCAACCCAGGATTGTTATTTGCCTTAGCATTTACATTGGGTGCTTGATACTACAAAATGCCCATGTATTATACTTCTGAGCTTTTAAATCTCTGGCCCGATTTCTTTGTCTCAGTTTCCATATTATGATTTGCCAAAGCAACCTTGTGTCAGCATAACAACTTTAGGGAATTGTACAGTAATTTGTTCATCATGTGTATTCTGTAACTGGTATGCAGCTGCATCTAAAATGTGTGTATTGCAAAACTGATCATTGTTTAAATGTATAATTTACTTAGAGGTATGTATATAAAACAGCTAATTTAAATCTTAATCCTATCAACTGCTGTACAACATTTGACTAAAGTGCAGAATCGGCTACTTATATGGCACATATGGATGTGTACATGGACAAAGTCAAGGGAGTATGCAATTCTCTGATGTTTTTTTAAGTGAAAATAGGTTGATGTGTACATGGGTACCAAGTTTGTGTAACTCGACTTGTTGTTTGCGATTTTGCGAAACGCACCAAGCAGTGGATGATTCTACACTTTCCCCAACATTTTTATACTTAAATAGAAGCAATTTTGTAAGCAGATAAAAAATCTTCATCCCCTTTTTGAAAAATATCTTACATTAAGAAGTGGTTTCTCTTGGTATACCGTATTTACGTTTGTGTCGCCCCTCCCCAACTTTTTAGTTATCAGGGTCTGAAAATTTTTTAAATATTTGTTTAATTTTCCCATTCTTCAATGCATCCAGAGGATAGACTTCCCTAAATTTTAAAATTGATTTGTTGTCATAGTCATTGTTTTTGTCTTACTAACAGCTGTGGAGTCGTTAGGGAAAATGACGGACTCCCTAATATGTAAACATATACACATGTGTTACAGCTTATTTTTTTTAATATAAAAGAAGTAATAGATGCTGCAGAAAAAAATGATGGCATAGCAAATTATATATATTAGCATTTATTGTAAAATGGGCATTAGTAATTTCTAAAAAACAGTATAGCTTCGGCAACATCTTTGTTTGAGGACTGTAGATCCTATTTGATAAACTTCAGAGCTGAGAAGTTTTTAACTTGAGTAGGAGGAAGAACTGTTACTATTGGGGCTTACTTCTTTTAACTTTTCAAAACAGACTTTTATAAGTTCTAAAAGAGATGTCTTGCAAGAACTATCATATTTCTTTGAAGGCTGTGTAGAAATCTTGTTTATATTTCCTCATTTTTTATATTTAAAGGCTTTTGGTTCTTTATTTTCATTCACTTTGCTTTAGCCTCTTTAGTATTATCCAAATATTTTTCAAAACTGAATCATCACTGGAAAAGAATGATAGAGACTTGGTTGTAGTGTCTGCAGTCTTCGGAGCTTCCATGTAATGAAATTCGAAATTTATTAGATGTATAATCATGTTGTTCATGAATATAAACATATGATATGAGTAAGTCAGTTTCTTTTGGTATTCTCCACCTGGAAAGACGCTTGCCAACACTGCTGAAAATGTTCCATTTCCAAAATCTTATTTTATTTTGCCTTGATGTAATCTGATTAAATCTTGTATGGCTATTTATGAAATTTCACATGACCCTGTGTAATGTAATTGATGAAACTTCAGCAGTTATACAAAAATTATGAAATGGGTTACTACAGTATAAAATCTAAAAGCCGAACATTCCAAAAAAAAATTTTTTTTTTTTTTTTGCATAAAACTTTTCCCTTTTTTTCGCAACAGTGAGGGAATAGATAATACGATATTCAAGCAAAAACAAATATACTGTAAAGGGATTTTTGTTTGCATTAGCTGAATTATTGCATCACCTTGTATGAATTGCCTTGGCTTTAACCCGTTCATGATGGGCACCTCTGTTACTGAAGCGTTCTCTTGGGACGGTGCGTTAACCAGATACATCGTCTTGGGGGGACGAGCAATTCGCATTGCTAAACCTAACTTTGGAAAAAAATTTGTATAAATTAAATTTGTCATCCAATTGATCCAATTTTTGGTACATTATGAGAAGAACATTCAGATAGTTGTCAGAACTAATTTTAAACCTTTATTGTTATATTTTTCTTAAAAATTTTATAAAATACTCATTCTAAAATATTATAATTTTTTCCTTTATTTTTTTTTTTTTTTTTTTTTTTTTTTTTTTTTTTTTTCCTAATTTTTTTTCCTTTATCCCACAAATATATATGGAAAAATATCCAAACAATCGTAGATTTTAAGCAGAAAATAAGCCTGTTTGGGGCTTCTATAATTAAGATACAATAACACGCCGGCTGAACAAATATTAGTTTAGAAGTCAAACAACAAATATTTTTGTTGTTTGCTATTGCATTATATTCTCAAATTTTCACAGCGCTATGTTCACAAATTTTTTTTTCTGTGAAAATTTGAGAATATTTGTTGTTTTTCTAAACTAATGGCAGATTTTATTTAACACAACACATAATTAAAATTAAAACTGTCTTTCATAAAAATTCAATGTGCAAACAACGAAAAGCAAGCAATATTTCAGAAAAGAGACAGTGTATGATATTCTTTGAAAAATGGGTGTACACAAAGTCCAATGTTGCAGATGTCACAGGAATAGGATATTAGCAAATTTGACTCGTTTAGCATTTGTGTATCTTCTACGGACAGATAGCACTTTCATTTTGCCTGTGTATGTTCTTCTATGTTCAGATACCTATATCGCAAAAATAAAAAGTACAAAGCATCGAGATCACATACGTTGTTTATATCAAATGACCCAGTTAAAGAGACATTACATTGCTCAACACCCACCCACGATTCTCCCTCTCATTCCGAAACAAAATACCAAAAATAAAAAACATTGCATAGGAATGAAGGTACACATACTTAACTTTTGATGTATTTCCCAATAACAGACATACAGCTACATCTAGCGGCAATAAAAAATACTAATTAAACATTCTGTCTAAAAAGTCAAATGTGGTGCGCCCGGCCATAGAGTGAATTAAATGGCGATTCAAACATGACACACCCGGCCGCGAGGTAATGTTTGCTGCTGATGAAAATATGTGTAGGTGCATGTATATATGACATGCCTGTGCTGAACGGGTTAAATGCCTGCCGGCTAAGGATTCCCATTATTTTTGTGGGAGGAGTGTTTTTCTGTCTTTATGTAGCTTGTACACAAGTGAATTGGAAGACCAATTTCTTTTGTTTGACTAGCAGGGATAGAGGTGAAGTGATTGGGTACTGTTTAACTACAGATGGTATCCCTCGTCAACCTTCTGATTTGATGCAGCTGTTCTGTCTTGGCCTCAAATTAAATGTTTAATAAAAGAAAACATCCCTGTTTTACTCTTCATATCCATTAAACTGCCAATTAATGTCAGAATTTTATGTACTTTGAAATGAGTAGGCCTTTTTAAAATATCTTTCTGATGATATTAAACTTTAAGTTAATAAAAAAATATTAATACTGTAGTTCCTTAAAACTTAATCCCCTTGAAAAACAAGACAGTCTTAGCAATTATTTTTTTTTAATATTCAGAACTGTGCAACTTTGTGAAATGTAGTAGTCTAATATACATTTTTTTAAAAATTTACTTTTTGCTTCACTAAAGGAATTGATTGAAAATATGTGTAGCTGCATGTATATATGTGTATTGCCTAAATATTCTGAATATTTGAAATATGTTAAATTTTTTACTCAAAAGTAGTTTCAGGATTTTTGAAATGGGGTCACAATCATTCCAGAAATTAAACATAATTATGTTTGTGTAAAGTAAATAATTTAGAAATCTAGATGCTATTAGCTCACATATTTTAATGCAGTTTTATTTATTTGTTTTTGAATGCAGCATGGGTCACAGCCGTGCCCGAGGATCCAACTCTTGCATATTGCAAAATATGTGGCAAAAAAATCCGAGCTCACAAGGGAGATATCGAGAAACATCAAAAGACAAAAAGACATTTGAAGAAACAAACAACGTCAGACATCTTAGCTGACTTGATACCGATCTCTTGTGGTAAGTCTTGTTTCATAATCATAGTTTGTTCTATTGTGTTAACTATTATTTCCCCCCTTTTTTATTTATGTTTTGAATATGAAATGGATTCACCTTGATGTAATCTTTTTTAATTGTTAATTTATTATTTAATTTAATCTTATCGTCAAGTCTTGAAATGCATATACAACTTTAAAGTTGGATTAATTCTCTTCTTTTTAATTCTCTTATTCTCATTTTCGTGCAATTCAGACCATAGTTCGTTTCGCACATTTGCTTGTTTGATTTGTTAGGTTGCTGTCACACATCTGTTAGTTTCAGAAGAACAACTGTTTGGAAGAGTTTCTCTGCTTTGTCACAACAGCCAATCACCACAGATTACTTTGGGGTTAAAATGTAAAAGGGAAATTGGTTCTCCATTACAAACTAGCTGATAGCTGGGTAATTGAAAAATAACAACTTGCAATTTTTTCCTAAAGGAAGGGAAAAAAATCGTTCGTCTTTCTTTCAGTAGTAAACCAGGCAGAAAAATTGTCCAAAATGCTAAACTGTAATCATATTATTTCTAAATTATGATGTATATTAGTTATATCAAAAGTATAATATTATAAGCAGGCAGATAGCCTACAATATAAGTAGATCAGTAGATAGGTGCTTAGAAATATATCTACTGATCTATTTATATTGTATCTGAGAAGGCATCTTAACTTTAAAATAAATTTATCTTCTTCCCCCCCCAAAAAAAAAGTTCATACAAGGCTTTTGAAAATTTATTTTTAGGCAGAGGTAGTTGAAGGATTCTTTTCTTTTTATACTTATTTGTATATTTATCCTTAGATTTAATTCTCCAGTTTAGATTTTTATAATTGTATATAAAGACATAAAACTGATCTGTGAATTTATAAAATTAGCTGATTGTTTTGTGAGAATTAAAGGAATGTACCAAAATTCTTTTCTTCTATGGATTAATTTTTTACTACAAGTATTATATCATTTATTTTAAGGGCTATTGATTCGTTATTGTTTAGACGATAGCCTTTTTTCTGATAGTCTTTTTTTTTCTGGACTTAAGATATTTTTGTTTTCTGTAAAATGTGTTATTTCTGGAGCATGTATGTTAGTTCCAAAAATATTAAGTTAGGCTTTTCCAGAAGAAGTTATCTAAAAAACTCAACTGATATTTTTGCATTTTAGTTGTAAAATAGAAAGTTTTCACAGAATGGAGTTATTTTTCCATACTTTGTCTGATGTAATTCCAAAATGCATAAAACAAAGGGTGTTTATACATTTTTAGAATGATTTTGTGGACATTTAATTAGTGTTTAAAATGTAAAGACTTATTTTTTTAAATATTTGATCTGATAGCCTTTTTTCTGGACTATAAGTATGCATTGGAATTTCCACGAAGCTTGTTTTCCATTTCTGTTCCACTACTTTCAAGAGTCCTTCAATCAATTGTTTTGCAATTAGAAGATATCTTTTTGAGAGGCCAAAGGCACAATAGCCCATTTGTGGCAGGTATGCAGTGAAAGCCATGCACGTCTGCAGCAAGGTTTAGTGGTGCCAAATTCAGTTGGTATCCTAGTAAAATGAAAGTTATCTGCGCAGGGGCAAATGTAATATCCGATGATTTTATTCCCAAAAGGCTTTTTGTTTTGTCCAAAAAACAAAATAAATTAATAAATTATATAATTAAAATTATATAGGGTTTCACAAAAAATCCTGCGTGCAACCACTCGTCTTTTCTAGAACAAGCTGAGGTGAAATGCCAGGAGACTTTGCAGGAATATGCTGAATAGGTATATATGTATGTCATTATTTTTTTAAGGAATGCAGTGGTACGTTTCACAGTACTACTTGTAGCTTTGTCTCGATGATGTTCACTGTTCCAAAATCATTGGGATAAAGAAATGGAATGTTTTCTGTAAATATCCAATCTAAAACTTCCTCTTGATTATAGGTTGAATTGGTATTAACATTTTTTCCATTCTTCATATTTTTAATTTCCCATTGTAAGAGAATTGTGTGAGAATCATAATAACCTCACTGAAATTTTCTTTGCATTGACAGAAAATTATAAATTTCTTTCCTTCGTTTTCTATACTAAAAACACCTCACTGAAATTTTCTTTGCATTGACAGAAAATTATAAATTTCTTTCCTTCGTTTTCTATACTAAATTGACATTTTTGTGTTTGCCATTTAGGTTGCTGTTGCTCCCTCAAGGGTCACAATTTATTTTCAATTATCTCCTGCTAAATAGTTTTCTTACAGGGGTCTATAAAATTGTTCTGTGTTAAGCTACATGCTTTGACAAAAGTTGTGAACCAAGTTTTTTAGCTTTTTAAATTGCAAATCTTGGTTTATTATTTTATTTACCTTTGCTACTGATGTAGTTAAAAACTTTGCAGTTGATTTTCTTCGTTGGCGAATTTTCTTTCATTACCAGTGATTTAATGGTAGAAATTTCAATACCTTGCATTTGACAATGTTTTTTTCTTTCTTTCTTTTCTTTTTTCTTTTCTTTTTTCTTTTTTTTTTTTTAATTATGGAACAGGTATATTTCTCTCTGGAAAGTGGAAAAATATATCCTTCAATCCACAGCTTTGTTTACATCGGATATTTTTAAAAAAGAATAAAACTAGTACACATATTTTCTCATTTCAGTTAATAAGTTGCACCTAGAAATTTTAATTCCAAATGATTGCTTTTTCTTAAAAAGAATTCTTCATTGAATTTGTTCTAAAAAGTGTAAACACCCTCTATATATAAAAAAAAAAAAAAAATCTCTTTCTAAATATTTACGTTAAAAAAAGTAGTTTCTTGAGTAGTTTAGTTACACACTAAAAATGTATTGCATTCATAATATAAAGGGAATTTTTTTTTTCAGTGTTATTGTGGATTACAAATTCTTGTATTTTAAGTATGATCTCTTAAATTAACAAGTAAATCAATTTTATAAAGTGTAAAATGTCAAACTTTGTTTGGGATGGAAAAAAGACAAATTATAATTATAAATTTATGACAAAATAGTTGAACATTTTATACTATCCCAGTTATTTTTAGTTCAATGTCATATAGATCTATACAATATGTCTGATCTTTCTGAATCTGCCGTTTCTACTCTTTCAAAATTCTCCTAGCTCACTATGGTCATTTCATTGAAAAATACACATTTTTAATTAAGAAAGAATTAAATATAGCAAGTATGTGATGTAGCATATATCCATAAATGGATTTCTTTTATAAAATTATTTTAAAGAATCAGTATATAGACAAATGGCATGAAATACCTCAAGAATTTCTGTATGTATGTGTGTATATATAATAGTTTTATGTTGATATTTCTTTCTTCTAGACATTTCCTTGACTTTTCTTTTCTGTCGACATTTTCTTTACAAATTTATGACCCTATTCGGATGTGAAAATATTCTAAATTGGGGTATTATGCATGATTCCTCATCTTCACTGAGAATTTTCAAGCATGAATATATTACCTGCATTATTTATTTGCTCAGACATAGTTTATTATAAACCTAATACACATGATTTATATTTACTTGATCAATACATGGAAAATCATCTGTGGATTTACATTGAAGACCATACCAATGATGAAGTAGTCTGAGGAACTTCCTGTACCATTTGACAATATTAAATTTCAAGTTCTTTTTGTACTTGAGTGTTTGGAACATTGAGCAATGTAATCTTTTGACATTAGGTATAATATGCTCGCAGAGAGCAGCCATGTGGGGTGTTTTGAAAAATAAAACATCTAATCATTAGTGTCATTCATCTTAGTGGAGGTACTGTTGCTTTTGTGCATCTGTGTTTTCTGAATTCTATTTTTCTACCTCTCAGTGTTACTGGATTATGTTTGCGTTTTGGAATTCATTGGCATATGTGGTCTGCAATTTGTTGTATTTGAATATAGCTTGATTTATCAGTACTGCTGTCGAAATTTATGTTGTTGTGCGTAATTATATCCAGACATTTTTGCAGCCGATGGTGGATGGAAGGCTTGGCCGGAAAATCCTGCAGAGAACAGACAGCATTCTGCTTATCGTGGAGGTAACTAATTGCATTTTAGAGTTAAGGATACTGAAGTATTTTTATTTATTTATATCACATACACAGACACACCAAAAAAAAAAAAATCATTTTTGAGAAGTATTGGAATTAGGTGCTGCTCTGCTTGCCATATCAGAGTTTTTAAAATGCATTTTTAATGTTGTTTGTGCATTATAGGATTTGGATTTAGTTTCCAGAAGTAGTGTATTTATTTGAATAACTTTTGTGTGCTAAAGTCGATGGAGTTGCTGTAGAGATTTATGTTGGTTTTTATAATTATATCCAGAAATTTTTGCAGCCGATGATGGATGGAAGGCTTGTCCTGGAAGTCCTATGGAGAACAAACAGCATACTTATTATCGTGAAGGTAACTAATTGCATTTTAGAGTTTAGGATACTGAAGTATTTTAATTTATTTTATCCAAAAAAAAAAGCATTCATTTTTGAGAATTTTGGAATTGGGTTGTGTTGTATTTGTTACATCAGAGCTTTTAACATGCATTTTTAATATTACTTGTGCATTATAAGATTTGGATTTAGTCTGCAAAAGTTGTACGTTTATATGAATCACTTTTGTTTGCTAAAGACGATACAGTTTGCTGTTGAGATTTGTTTTGTTGTGCAAAATTATATCCAGAAATTTTTGCAGCCGGTGATGGATGGAAGATTTGTCCAGGAAGTCCAGCAAAGAACAAACAGCATTATGATTATCGTGAAGGTAATTAAAGGATACCGAAGTATATTTTATTTTTATTTTTATCGCAAAAAATACACTCATTGTTGGGAAACATTGGAAATGGTTGGTGCTGTGCTTGTTGCATCACGGATTTTAACATGCAATTTTAATGTTACTTGTGCATTGTGGGATTTGGATTTAGTTTTCAGAAATAGTATATTTATTTGAATCCCTTCTGTTTGCTAAAGTCGTTGAGATTTATGTTGTACATAACTATATCCAGAAATTTTTGCAACCGATGGCTTGGCCAGGAAATCCTATAGAGAACAAACAACAATCAACTTATTGTGAAGTTAATTAATTGTATTGTAGAGCTTAGGATACTGAAGTATTTTTATCGTCCTCTCTCCCCCAAAAAAGAATTCATTGTTGAAGTATTGGGACTAGGTGGTGCATCAAAGCTTTTAACGGGCATTTTTAATGTTACTTGTGCATTCTAAGATTTGAATTTAATCGTTTATTATTTGAATCGCTTTTGTTGCCTAAAGTCGAAACATTGTTAAACGTATTAGTGTTTTTAAATAGATTTTTCTCAAAAATCTGAACTATTTAGTATTTTCTATAAAGCAGATTTGTTAAATATCTGGGTATGTAATCTATTAGTGCAACCATCTTAATAGAAAATGCAAATTTTTAGAATGCACCAAACTTTTTGGGTAATCATGCCAGTATACTTAAAAATTTTCCAAATCTTCAATTTTAACAAGCCATGTCGCCATTTTCATATGCATTCTTTTTGTTGTATTCTAAATTCCAGTGATTTTTATAGAATGAGCGTGGTATTTATCATATTTAATTCAACTTAAAAGTATGCACTTGTTGAAGTTGTGTGGTTTGGAAAAAATATTGCGGTAAAATTTCTGAAAAAATACAGCATTTTGCTGCAGAATTACTAAAGAGAACAGTTTCTTTGTTCTAAGTGATTACCATGGAATTTCTACTAGAATAAAAGTAGCAAAGATTTGCTTGCGAGTGGATTTATCAGTTGATTTTTTTAGATAAATACCTAATTATAATATAAAATATATCTAGAAACTGGCAAATGGTTGCCTTAATATACAAGTCCTAATACTGAAACATGCAAGTTCAGAAATTGTTAAAATCTAACTAGCTAAATTAGAGACCTAATTATAACTCACTACTTTTAAATAACGCTACACAGTTTTTGTTAGTTATAATTATTAGTTATTACGTTGTATTGCGTATACTTCTTCATGAAATCGGTAAATGTTTAAGCATTAAATTAAACGGAAGCTGTAGATTAAAATGTTATGAAAAAATGTTAATTTTGTTCCAAAGGTTAGAAAAAAACTTTTCTATGCAGATTATTAGCCTAGAAGTATGTATCAAAAGTGTAATAATGTGCATGTATCTCTTACCTTGGAAAAAAATAAATATGGAAAGCAGTCTAAATCTGAAAATAGCACATTTCATTATATGATTATGTTATTAGTATAAGAATAGTGAAATAGTTCGTGAAATAACATTTAATCCCAGAAGTAAGGTTTTCTAGACTTAATAAGCAGGGAGAAATGAAAAGTTTAATTTGAAAATAAGCACAATAAGTAGTACACAAAGCACAATACAAGCTGGAAATAACTTGGAGAATGTGAATATTAAGCAATTCCTCCCTTAGCATATGAAATATATTGTAAAGTTTTTCAAATCACTTTCAGCATATAACTCTTACTTAAGCTAATTGCTGAATCTTGCATTTTATTCGTGAACTTCACAGATCTCCAATCTCTATTTATACATTGTAGCATGTACTTTTGGAAAAATCATCATAGGGTTTTTGAAAATGTGTTTTTGCAAATTTTCCACGAAACTGCCAGGTTGGCGAGATATTGCCAAATCTTGCCATATTGGTGAAAAAATTGTTGCGGGAACTCTCTAATCAGGGTTAAACAGAAGGGCTAGGTCATTTCTTTGTGTGACTTTTCAACAGCACGATCCTCATAGGGGGTTAACAGGAAGTAGCCTGACGTCACTATGTTGCATCTGATCTGACTTTGTCTGTTTAAAACTAGCAATGTGAACATCCCAAATTAATTTTAATCACATGTATAGTTTTCTAGTAAAGCAATGTCAAACAGAGGGCCCACGAGCCATGTGTGGCCCTCTGTAATTTTATGAATGAATTCCCCTAAAATTTTTTTTTTGAAGTTTTGTCCCTTTTGGAAAGCCTATATTTATTTCTTTTTAGTTTAAATTAAAAGTAAATTATTTAGTATTTCAATATATTACAATTAGTTGAATAAATGTAAGTCTGAAAAATTTAATATTTAGCTGTCTGTTTTAATTCTAAATTGTGACCAGCAGAAATTCCGGTTAATCTTTGGATTATGGTAACTTGGAAATTTTTTGGCGACCAACCCTGCTACAGCATCCTGCTAGTTTTTGTTTGGACACCATTTTGTTTTCATGAAGTAAAGGCATGTTTTTTTTTTACTCAACATTTTTTTCCAACAATCTGCTAGCCGAATTACGCTTATGCTAGAACTTTTATGGAACAAAAGTGCTTAATCGTGACGAAGATTAGGTGCGAAATTGGGAGAAAGTGCAGAATCGCAAACTGCTTGCCGCGTTTTTAAGAATTGCAAATACACGGTATCCATGTACACGTCGACCTATTTTCACATAAAAAAAATCCCAGAATTGCACAAAAATGGCATTGCGCACACTCTTTACTTTATCCATGTACACTGCTAAAGTCCTAGCAAGTAACCTTTATTGCCTTACCAAAATGTCGCCAAACTACCTGTTACCATATTCCAAAGATTAGCCGAAATTTCTTGCAAATACTAACTCTTAGATTTCAGGCAAAATATAAGTTTGATATTTTCTTTGTTTTTATTCTTATATTTTTACAAATATCTATTAAAAGGTTTTTAATTTTTTAATTTAATTAAAAAATTTTGTTTTCTTAAAAAGAATTTCAGCCTTATTTATTTACTTATTGCAATTGCTGTCCCTCTGCTACTTTCAAATTGTACATTGGCCTATGTGCATTGTAAGTTTGAGACACTGTTGTAAAGCATTGTTTACATGATATGTCTTCCTGTGTTGTAGCAAAGTGTCATAAAATTCAAGGAAATGAGAAAGATGATGATATCTTATTTCATTTTCCAAAGGAAAATTGCTTTTGGTAAAAAAAATATGGATAAATGTGTTGAAGACCGGATTCTGTTAATGTCAAGAATGCAAGAATTTGCATTGAACATTGTCTATGCAGTGATTGTGAAGATGACATGAAAAATTGCTTTCTTGTATTGCTGCAAAAGAAACTTTAAATCCTATACTCTTCCAAGAAAAGAAAAATAATGCAGATTGCTTTTGAGACTACACAAATTACATTTGAAGAAAATTAATTTTGAGGCGGATAATGAAAATGATGATAGGAATAATGAATTAAATATGAATGATTTTAAAATAGAATTCCCAAATGATGATGCAAATATTGCTGGATGCCCTAACTGTAAAAATAAATAAGAGTGCATTGATAATTTGTAAAAACGAAAAGTTAGCTGAGCATTTTGTGTAATTTATAATCATATAAAACTTCTTAAGTAATTTCGCATAAAAAGGATGTTCCTCTTTTGCCCCTCTTTTGAAGGATTACGTAATTCTCTTCAGATACTGTGAGCAAAGTTAGTTGTTTTGTCAGACTTAAGACAATCATCTTGTATTTATTTAAATGCAGTATATGTGTATAAATGTGAGAATAAGTTAGACAAATCTTTAAAATATCTGTTATTATATCAAATTGGAAGAGAAACATACCAGTGTAAAATTTATAGGTAGGTCAAAAAAGCAATCTTAGATTAAATTTTGAATAAAACTAAAGATTTCAAGGACAGTCAAACATAAGTTCCTCTTTTTTAGCTGCAGGGGGGAACTGACATATATCTTTCAAAACTACTCCGAACTAAGTTTTTTCTTTTCTTTTTTTGTGTGTTGTTTGGTGGGCCCTAACTTTAAAAAGCTGTTATTATAGTTATCTTAGGAAGAGTAATAGAATTCTTTCGGTATACAAATGAAGAAAAGATAATGAATGCCATATTTCCCCCTTCATGTTTTAATAATAAATGCACAGGGGGAAAGACCTGCAACTTTTAAGAAAACATTTTTTATCTATTTTAAAATCAATAAATAAGTCTTATTAACTTTTTAAACATTATAAATGCTTATAGTAAGAACATATTCTTTCCTAATTTAAAGTTATTTTTTCACGGACAGTTTTTTTAAGGTTTTCTTTTCAAATTTAAAACATTTATTTCTTTGCTGCAAATTGCATGAATTGCAATCATTGTCAACATGACAACCGTGATCACTCTTCATTTCCTGTTTCAGAGGAAAAAGCTCTATGAACTAGCCCTTCTCTTCTAAGTCCTGTTTCTAATTGAGCTAGTTTGACGTTTCCAATGTTATTGTGCTCAGAATTGAAAGATCTGCAGTTCTGTGTCACAAATAAAAACACAAGCATACAAATTATCAACCTAAAAGCAGTAAATAAATAAATAAAATACCAAATCAATACACAAAAACAAAATACAGGTGGAAAGAATTCAAGTGTTTACAATAGTATACTAACTTTGTTTGAATTGTTATTTGTGCTTGAGGTATGAGACTATCCCACCTATAGTGTCTTGAATAAGAGTTCATGCAAGTGGTTTATATATTCATGCAAGTGGTTCATGCAAGTGGTTTATATATGTTGGAAAATAAATGCTGCTATCAGACAGTTGATATTTTGCAGATAAATTTTTTGAAACTGCACATTAGCTTTTTGATAAATTAATTGGGTTTTTAATTTTGATTTTATATACTATTCTCTCAAGATTTTTTTAAAAATTATTTGTTAAGCATTATATGTGTAATATCAAGTAAAACACTTCATTGTATTTTTTTTTTTGGGGGGGGGTTGTTTTTGGAAAGCACATTCTTGTGTTCTATGCGAGATCATCAGTTCACTGAAATAAGCCTTTTTAAGGCATCACAAAATATGATTTCTAGCAGCATAACTACATATTCCCCCTCCCCTTACAGTAGGGTAGATGTAACTGTCTTTTCTTTTGAAAGTGCTAGATATATAAATACCATTTTGTTATATGTAGAATTTAAAATTTAATTTGAATAAATCTTAGTTTCATTAGCATTTGAATTCGTAAATAAATAACTTTGACCAACAAATATTTTATATAATAAATAAATTAAGTTCTAAATAATCTTTTATAATTTTTTTTTTTTTTTTTTTTTTTTTTTTTTTTTTTTAAATAAGCTTTTCGTTTAAAATCAGAGTATAAAATTTAGTCACTATAATTTCATGAGTTACTGTTAGTTTTAATTTTTATTACAGCTTCATTAAATTAGGAGGAAAAAAAAAGAATTTCTCTGTATCTGAATTGTAGCGATTTTAATTGTTAATTATGTTTCTTGGCAGAAACAATGCTATTTTTGTATCAAGAACTTCTTTGTCTGTGTTATTTAGTATACTGTGAAATGAGAATTTTACAATGCTGTTGTTTCTTTTTTCTTCAGCTGTGTGTCTGTCTATTTTATATTTATTTAAAGATTCTTATTCCATTTTGTAATATGTTTCTAATCTAGCCTCCCCCCTTTTTTTTTATCTTTAGCAAGGCAATTATGCTTTCACTCCATCTGAAAATAAATTATATTTGTTACTGTATGTAACCTTATTATAAAATAATGCCATCTGAAAATTTGTTACAGTATTCAAGTTCTGTTGTTTTGTATCATAGCAGCTGTAATATAAAGCTAAAATTTTTTTATTACATGTTACATAACTATTACGTAACATTTTACATATAAAAAGATTTTTTTAAAAAAATTGTGCAGTGTGATGGTATGAGTATCTTTTAGAAGTAAAAATGCTGATATAGCTGAGCATTTGAAAATAAAAAAACTTTTCTTTAGATGAAAAATTTTTTAGGTTATGAATTTTTTTAATATTTAGCTAGCTTGTGTTAATTCATATGAATAAGCAGGTGGGAGGAAAGGAATAACGTTCTTTGTTATAGCTCCAATTTGATGATAGTGTAGTTGAGAAGTGTGTGCAAAATGTAATTCCAGCATTAGGCAGAGTATTGTTGAAATCCTTCATAGAATAAGAAAGACATCATTGATTCATTTCCTGATTGATGTATGGGATCTTCAAATATTTCTTTCTTTATTTATTTTTTTAAATTTCATACATGCACAACATTGTATTGGAGAAAGTGCAATAAAATTGCAAATTCCCTGAGCAAAAGTTCAAAACAGTTGTAAATTCAACTGAAAATGATTACTGTAAATTTTTTGCTGAACTGAACTTGCAGTTCTTCTTAGCTGTTCATGTATACTTTCCCTGGTGTGAAGAAAAATTTCTCATGAATTCGTTAGTATACTGATACAGGTTCTGAAGTAAGTTTTTTTAAAGACTTATTTCCAAAAGCTGCCAACTTCAGTGATATTTCCAAATATTAACAACTTGGAATTTTATGGTGGTGGCCTAGTAGATTTTTAATAGGTGAAATTTTCAGTTTTGTGCAAGCTAATTAAAAACTTTAGTGCTCACATAACTAATATTTCACATGCTGGAACATAATCATATATTATGAATACATATAATGATTCCATAAAGTAATGAAAAACACAAAGGAAATACATATAGATTTACCATAGCTGTTGGCTTTTTCTTTAGCATTCTATACTTCATGTTTTACTTAAAATGTCATGTTCTGCTACATGTATAATGGTATATAGGTTTTTTGTTTTTCTGAAGTATCATTGTTTGTAGCAAGTAAATGCTTGTAATAAAATACAGAGCAAATGATCTTATGAATAATAAAAATTTAAGAAAATAGATACGTATATATATGCATAAATATGACATTAATTTATAATTTAGAAATCTGTAAGAATAGGAAATAGTTGAGATTTCATCATTCTGTATGCAATATTTAGAATAAAATGTAATTCAATTTTTTAAAAGAACTCTTGAGTAAGAATGCTTTTTTAGTTACTAAAACAACTTTATTTTGAAATTTTTATCTTTAAAATTTTAATCTTTAACATTTCTTACACTGAACCATAAGAAAATGCTATAAAAATCGTTTTCATAACATTTATGTGAATAATGATACAGTTAAAAAAGTTTCATTAAAAATAATTATATTAACATAATTAAATGAAATGCATGAACCATGCTATATTATTTATGTATATATAAATATATATAGAGAGTAATTGTAGCTTAAATCTAATATATTTTGTTACTTCAAATATTATTTTCATTTTTAATTCAAATGCATATTCGCCTACTTAAGCAGTGTTTGCATTGCTTGAGGAAATGTTACTGTGTATCATGCAAACAGTATTTTTGTCTTAATTTTATAAAATTTTGGTTGGGGTGGGATTTTTTTCCCTAATTGTAACTACAAGTTTTTTTTTTTTTTTTTTTTTTTTTGTTATAGATGTATTTAAATGCATCTTTTAAGTAATTTTTTTTTGTGCAAAAGATAAAAAAATATTTTTTTTTGTTGATACATCTATCATTAATTCAACATTTTGTTATTAATGTATTAGACACATAAGGCATATATGAACTGATTCATTCACTGACCATTTCAGATTTAATTGCATAATTTTTGTTTTTAAAAGTATGTCCATAATTTGTATTTAGAGTTCATTTTTCGCAACATATTCATTTTATTCATTTATCTTGCATGGTTGCTAGGTGATGCTGCTGAGGGCTATCAAGCGACATATTTGGAAACTAGAGATAATGGTAAATTATATTCAGCTGTCTACCTCCGATAAATTAGACAAACTTTCAGATTTCTGTATCCATGTGATTTTATCTGTTATATCTCAGCTTTATATAGAGGGACACATATTGTATTTACTAATTTGAATAGTCAACTCAGCTAGAATTCAGACATACCTATTACCAACTAGGAGTTGGGCAATAAGCATGCCATGGATTGTCAGCCAGTAAAGTTGCAGATTGTGGCTGTGGAAAGCCTTCATTCAAACAGGCTGTGTGGTAGATCCACTAGTGGATATTTTGTCAGTCAAATTCAGCAGAACGGCGAGCAAGGTAGTTGATGGATACAATTTAATTTCAGCAGCACAATTTAAAGGCAAATATGAGTATGGCTGTATTCTGACTAAATTGTCCAGTTTTCTGCTTTGGCGATTTGACATTTTGCTTTCATAATTTAATAGTCCTGGACTGCTTCTTCTGGAAAGATATTTACACTTCTTTTGCAGTTATCAGTTGTTCAAAAAACATATATAAAGATCCTTTCTTTCCAATAACACCAGAGAAGGTTGTCCAGAGCTGTCAAATCTGAGAATAAGATGGCTGACTCAAATCGCAAAAGCAGGCAATCGGACAAGTCGGAATACACCCATACTGGTATTTGCCTGTGTATCATTCTGCTGAATCATATTATATCCATGAACTGTTTTGCTCACAGTTCTGACAATCTTCATTTTTCAACTGCAAGACTCGCTACTAAACCTTTGCCACAGAGCTTTTTTAAATGAAGGAATTTATAGCCACAGTCTGGGCTTTACCAGCTAGCAGTCCATGGTGACCAATTACCTGACTTTTAGGTAACCATGGATGCAAGTATGTCACACATGTGCATTCTGGCTGGCAGAGGTGTCAACTCAAATTGATAGATACAGTACATGCCTCCCTATATGGAAGAGCCAAACAAGTTATGAAATTCAGTTTAGCCTTGTTTACTTATTAAATTCAAGTTTGTTTGTTGTGTGTATTTAATTAAAAGTCTGAGTAATTAGTTGAAGTTTCATCAAGGATTTTTCTTTTAAATTTTGATGAAAACTGGCCCTTTTAGAAATTAGCAGCAAAATTTGTAAGATAATATTGGGTCACTTGAGGTTAGTCTCAGTTCAAAATCAAGAAATCAACAACTTTAACCCCTTAACTGCCGCAGGCGTATATACACCCGCGGCATATGCGGGTATTATATTATAATTATAAGAAGTATTAAAGATATTTTTTACTTTAGTAGGGAATAAGAGCCTTAAAATATCCATTTAATAAAATTTTTAGTTTGTTATAAATGTATGTGTAATTGGAATAATTATGTTTCATTTATCAGAAATTATCCCAAAATTCCTACTCACTTGTAGGATAGTTATCGGTCAGCATCCCTTTAGATATAAATGTAATAAATACTGATTTGGCAAAGTATTTAAAATTATGTAAAGTGTTTTTCTTATACTTGAAGAAAAAGGTAAGTAGATTAAATTTTTTCTAGAGGTAAATGGAATTTTTTTTTTTTTTTTTTTTTTTTTTTTTTTTGGTAGAACATAAAAATAAACATTACATTATTTTAAATGGATGGATAAATTATTTCTGCAAAACAATAATTATTCAAGAGTTTATAATAGTTATTGAGTACTTTCTGATTATCTACACCTCTGTGAAAAGTTGCCGCTATCTTTTATGGGTATTGTTCCATTCATAAATAATAATAAAAGCAAGCATTGAAAAATATGAGCGGGAAAGAACAAAAATATATATAATCAACAGTTTTATTTTTATAGCCATTGATGTTTTTCAACAGAATAGCCATTTAATAAAGCATGTAAATGTGTTTGTGCTTGAACACGTATGTGGGTGATTGATTTTTTTTTTTTTTTTTTTTTTTTTTTTTTTTGTTAACCTGAGAAACCTAAAGCGGATGTTTACCTGAAAAAATGTTGAAAACAAGGAAAAGTTGAAACCAGGGGTGCAGATAATCGGAAAGTACCATTTATTGTTTTATGTTCCACTTTGAATGGATTTAATATATTGTAAATCCATTGGTCCATTAAAAATATGCTGAATATTTATATTTTTTGGATATTGCAGAAACCTCCTTTATTTAGGCCATTACAGATTTTTACTTTTCCTCCTTTGTTTAGGCCAAGGATGTCAAACTCGCAAACCGCATGCGGCCCGGCCAATATATTGGCAAATAATAATATATAATAATAAAATAACATATCGACGAAGAAAAAAGTAATTAACAATAATTTATTCAGTTTTGTTAGATTACTCACAGTGAGCTGACACACACACACACACACAACTTAAATTACAAATGCGTGTGAGTAGTTTGCGTTCAGCTACCTTCGACTTTTGGGGGACACGTGCACTCAGAACTTGTACGCATCCCCCGATAGCCGAATGTGGCCGAACTCATGGTCTCAGTTTTCCAATCATAGTTTTGTATGATATATTGGCAAAGCAAAGTGCATGCACATGCATGCACTTTGCTTTATTATTAATTATTACTTAATTCATAGTTATTTATTTATTATTTTTTTATTTACAATTGTAATTAGATTTGCTTCATGTTGCCTTAGCAACGCAGACGATTTTTGAAAAGACAGTTGCGTAGGAAGGTTAAAAATAGAACAGCGCGTGCATTTAATACCTAATAAATAAATATCTCGTAATTGCTGTTGCCATCCACAAAAATCCAGATAATGGGAATTAGAATATTTTTGCTGTGAAATAAAAGATAAAATAATCTGCTTGATATGTAATAATACTATTAATGTACCAAAGTTATATAATATTAAACGTCATTACGAACAACACGAATCGAAAAATATAACAATTACGAAGGATTAATGAGAGAAGAAAAGTTGAAAGAAGAGCTCAAGTTAGGAGTGAAAAAAAAAAAAGCAACAGTCTATGTTTAGTAAAGTATTGCAAGAAAGTGAAGCGGCGGTACATGCAATCTAAGTCTTGTCCGAGTTGATAGCTAAACATTTGAAGCCTTTACTGATGGTGATTTTCATCAAGGAATGCCTAATGAAAGCTGGAGAAATTGTTTGTCCTGGAAATGTGAAGGCTTTTCAATCAATTTCATTGTCTCGAAATACAGTTGCGGAAAGAGTTACTGATTTAGCCGCGAATTTAAGTGATCAGATCAAAGCAAAATCATCTAGTTTCTAAAGTTTCTCCATTGCCTGTGATGAGAGCATGGACGTTAGTGGCAAAGCTCAATTAGCAGTGTTTCTTCATTCTTGTGACAAGAATTTTAACATTTTTACTACTGGAATTACTGGAACTAATACCGATGCCTGGTACTACCACAGGAGAAGATATATTTACTTGTGTTTTTGGACTTCTGCAGAAATACAATCTACCTTTGGCAAAATTAAATTCTGTAGCTACAGATGGCGCTCCATCAATAACCGGGAAAACGAGGGCTTCGTAGCATTACTAAGAAAAAAACTTAGTGAAATTCACGGTTCAGACATTCATCATATGCATTGTATTATACATCAAGAAGTTCTATGCATGAAAGATGAAAGTAATAAATATGGGAGAATTGTTTTGTCATATATAAAAAAAAAAAGTTATAAATTTTATAAGATCTCGAGGTTTAGGTTTAACTCAGCGTCAATTCACTGCTTTCTTAAGTGAGTTAGATAGTGAATATTCGGGTTTGTCCTACTATACCGATGGTACGTTGGTTATCTTGCTCCAAGATTCTCAAACAATTCCATTTGGGATTTGAAAGAAGAAATATGTCAGTTTTTAAAAACGAAAAATGAAGACGTAAGTTTGTTTTACGATCCAATATCGGATACAAGATTTATCTTTCTTAGTTGATATAACCAAAACACTTAACCGATTTAAATTTATCGTTACAAGGAAAAGATCATATCATTACGAACATGTTTGACATATAATTAAAGCATTCAAATGTCAACTAGTTCTTTGGGAAAAACAACTTAAAAATGAAGATTTGATGCACTTCCCGACATGCAGCATGAACAAATCAAGTTTAGATGATACTTGTTCGTTCAAAAATACGCAGAAAAAATTGCAAATTTAACAACTGAATTTGAAACGAGGTTTAATGATTTTAGTTCCCTCAAAGACAAATTTTTTTTTTTTTTTCTTCTATTTTCTCAATAAGCATTGACTCAGTACCCAGCCATATGCAAATGGAGGTGATCAAGATTCAATGCAACTCAAATTTGAAAGCAAAATTCATTGAAGTGGGCGTGCCTGAATTTTACAAATATTTACCAGCCAGGTTTGAAAATACTCGAAAATTCGCATATGAAATTATTTCCATGTTTGGTAGCACTTATCGGTCGGTGCGAGCAGTTATTTTCAGTCATGAAATGAAAGGTAATAAGTCTCCTATTAGAAAACCGTTAATATTAATGATGCTCACCTTGGGTGAGCGTTGATGAAGTTTTGAAAGTTATCACTGCAAAACAAAATTTCTCCCGAAATAGGAAAGATAATAGCAGCAGAGAAGAGATGTCAAGTATCAGGATGTAATCATTAAATTTTTCTTGTTCTCTTCTATATAAATATATATGTTTATTATTGTATTATTCGAAATAAATCTACGTTTCTATGAATTTTTTTTTTTTTTTTTTTTTTTTTTTTTTTGGGCCCGCCTAAAGTTAAACCTTGTTTGTTTAGCCCAAGTGTACCTATGAGTTTGACATCCCTGGTTTAGGCCATTGCAGATTTTTTCTTTTCCTTTTAAGAAATTTTATACACACTTCATTATTCTGTACTTTTGTGACGTTTTCAATGTAAAACATATCTCTATCCATAATGAATAATAACTGTCTTTTTAGAGTGTTTTATGCTCTAATTTGATGCTTGGAAGTTGTAGTTATTTCTGCTGAATTCTTCACTCAGATGTAAATCATTCCTTGTAGGTACTTTGTGGGTGGGCCACTTGCATAAATATATTTCCCCTTTGTTTCTTCCCTTTAAAAATG